TAATTGAATGAGGTGTGTTTTTGAACGTATAAATTACGGTGATGAGATGTTTAAATTTATGTTAAGTGTATTAATCTAATTTGTTTTTTTTTAGGGTAGTGAGCCTAATTTCCCCAAAAGGAAAAAAGAACAGAGTACAAGGCTGGACTAGATGCAAGCCCAAGCTGCACTTATAAATACATGTAAATCCATTTTTTTTCCTTTTATAAAAGTAAATCCGAGTTATTTATCGACAAATAAAATTAGGGGTGAACATTTTAATCAAAATTGAACCTTTGAAATTGGAATCGCATCAAAATCGAAGGTTTCATTCCAATTAAAAATTTTAATTAGGAACTAAGCTGAGAAACAAGAACATACAGAGTCCAAGACTGTTCCTGGTTCTTGAACTAAAACATTGGACACTCGATTCCAAAATTGAATTTGTCCTTTTTACAATTTATTCACCGACTCAATGTTTCAACCCAACAATTCTAAAGTTTTCAAAACTCAAATGGTATATATCATAATCTATCAGATTCATTCGTTTAATAAATAAATCATATCACTCTTATTCTTAGTCATTCTTGACCGCACTTTATGTGCCTCGCTCCACGAACCCTTTTTAAGGCACCACTCACATAGCCGCGACAGGAGTTGGATGCTATTAGGTTAGGTATTGAATATTAAATGACGATCGTAGTGAATTAAGAAAGTGTTAAAAACGTATTTTTGTAGTATATTTTATTCATTCTTTTTTCTGCTAGATACTTAAAAAAATAATTTATATTGTTACCTCACGAATTCAAAAAATGCTATGGATAGAGTAGAACCCATGTGAACTGAACGATTCAATTTATGAGATATTCGAAATGTAATGAGTGGTATTGGATATTAAAATACCCACTCATATCCAAGCCTAAAGTAAAACATTTGTATATAGAAAACATTCAATCAACTCGTGAGTTGACAATACAAATTATCTACTAAAATCTAATTGAAATAGAATAAATAAAATATACCACCAAAAAACATATTTCAACAATTTTTTAATCCATTACAAACATGCTACCAGTTAACATCAAATATCTATCACAATAGCATCCAACTCTTATTGTGGATACGCACGGGACGTATCAAGAAAGGTTAGTGGGATGGGCAACACGTAAGATATGATTAGAAGTGGCTATGATTGAAAGTCGTGTGATTCAATTATTCAAATGAATGAAACTGATTTATCATGCTACTTGCTATTTAGATGTTGCAAACTTATTATTTGTTGAATCGGATCGTTATGTCGGAGTAAATAAATTGTAAAAAATAAAATAAAAATATAAAAAGGGATAAACTCGGTTCAAGAGTCGGGTATCCATAGTTCTCGAGAACCTAGTGTTGACCTGGACTTGAGCAATTCTTGATTTTAGGTTCCTATTTTATTTTTTTACATAAAAGATGATAGAAAAGACACTAAATAATTTTTACCCTTGTCATTTTACATTTTTGTTCTTTGGAAACACTTTACATTGAGGGTATTTTGGTGATTTTATCCCACGACAAAACATAAGAAAATGGGGTTAAAATTCTGAATTATTAACCACGTTTATTATCATTATTATTTTTAATTTAGAAAGGAAACAAACTAGATAAATTATAAACGAATCATCCGTGGATGAGCAACTCCGACAATATCTCCAAAGAGAAGAAGACTTGCGCTTGATGGGGGGTCATCGTACCAAATGAAACGATCTTCCCGATCAAAAGCCAAGTTGGCCATATGGTCAGCAATAGAATTAGCTTCCCTGTAAACAAGAAGAATTTGAACTTGCCAATCTTGATGAAGAAGCATTCGAACCCGAGATATGAGATCCCCATTCTGAATAGACATCAAAGAATTTGAGTTGAAAATCAAAGCGACGGCTGAGTTGTCAACTTGGACCTGAACTTTACGCCACCCGTTCTTCCAAGCTTCCTGCAAACCAGTGTAAATACCCCAAAGTTCCGCTCTAAAAGCGTTACAATGGCCAAGCTTGATCGAAAATCCTCCCAACCAAATCCCATTATGACTGCGAAAGACGCCTCCTGCTGTAGCTGAAAGAGAATTTCTACGAAAAGCTCCGTCAGTATTCAGAACCACAAAACCATATGGCGGTCTAGTCCAACTGATAAGGGCCTCTCTGCGCACTGCATTCACCTCCCCAACTGTAGCAAGAGCATCAAAAGCCGCCACACAAGCATCAACTGCATGGAGGATGATGTAAGGCTTCGAGGAACCATCTACCCGAGAGTTATTAAAAACCAACTTGTTCCGCCATGTCCATATGTACCAACAGGTAAACCCAAAGAGCATCCTCCAATCAAGATTTCCCGGGTTGTAGAACCATTCCGCAAGTTACCGACCATCCAATCGTTAAAGTTCAAATCAAAGAACCCGGCATTATCCGAGAGGGGTAGGAGCTTCAACCATAAGGCCTTGGCTATCAAGCAATCCCGTAACACATGAGAGATGGTTTCCACGCCATTGTGACAAATAGGGTAGCTTGGGTCATCTGTTAAATGCCGTCTATTGCGATCATAATTCGTGAGAAGTTTATTGTGCATGCAAAGCCAAAGAAATGCTCGAATCCGCTGAGGGCCTTGCCATTGCCAGACCAGATCCCAATAACCTTGGTCATTGCTAAATCCCAGGTCCAAAAGAGCCAAATAAGCCGAAGCCAAAGAAAATTGGTCATTGCCAGCAAGATTCCAGATTCGGATATCATCCTCCAACTCATCTCTAGGAAGACAACACAAATTTAGATTGTCCAAAACCTCATCTGGTAAAAAACCTGACAAAAGTCTAAAATCCCAGGTATCCCCACTCAAAACATCTTTCACGTGCCACTCATGAAAACTACTTGGTATAGGCCGTGTAATTTAGTTGATCAAAGGTTCCGAGCTTAACCAATTATCAAACCAAAAGGACACACGCATACCATTACCAATACTCCAGCTAGAATTTCCTGAAATAAAAGGCCACATACTATTCATAGCACGCCAAATAGAAGAACATTGAGAACGAAATCTGGAAGGGAAATAATCAACATTGTTCGAACCGTATTTCCCTCTCAGGACACGCACCCAAAGAGCTTGATGTTCAGTGACAAATCTCCAAGTTAATTTGGCTAGGAATGCTTGATTTAGCACCCTTAAATTCTTCAAGCCTAACCCCCACTCTCCTTAGGCTGGCACACTGTATCCCAACAAACCAGATGCATAGTTCTCTCATTGCCATCAGCTCCCCAAATAAAATTTCTGTACATAGTATTAATTTTGTCACATACAGTAACTGGAATGACCGCCACTTGCATAACATAAGCCGGAAGAGCCATCAGGACAGAATTAACCAGAGTAACTCTACCCGCAAAGGAGAGAGTTCTAGCCTTCCAAGAACTGAGTCTTTTCCGCACTTTCTCCTCTAAGTAAGTATAATATTTACGCCCATTGCGACCATGCAGAACCGGTATCCCTAGATGTAAACCCAAATCATCAGAAAAATTAAAACCGGAAATCCTCTTGATATCCTCAATTGTGTGCCTGTTAACGTTTTTCGAAACACAGAATGAGGTTTTGGAACTATTAATCTTCATCCCAGAACAATCATAAAACTCTTGTAAAACCCCCAAAGTTTTATCAATCTATTCTTCCACCGCTTCTACAAAAATAATAAGATCATCTGCGAAGAAAAGATGGGTCAGCGGGCGTCCTTGTCTTCCCAGTTTTATAGGCTTCCAAACACCATTCTCCACCGCTTGCTTAATGCCCTGAGTAAGTTTTTCCATACAAAGAACAAAAATGTAAGGAGACAAAGGATCTCCCTGACGAACTCCTTTCGAAGGTTTGAAGCTATCAGATGACTGATTGTTAAAAAAGATTTTTGTTGAGCTAGTTTCCCAACATTTAAATAAAATCGAAATGAGAGCATGAGGGAAACCTATGTCAATCAAAGTATCTTTAATAAAGCAACACCTGAGTCTATCATAGGCTTTTTCGAAGTCTATTTTGATCATGACCCAACCCTTCTTTCCTTGCTTTGTGCGCATAGAATGGGCTACCTCTTGTACAACAACAACATTGTCAGTAATTTGCCTGCCAGGATGAAACTAGCTTGCGTATTATCCACCAGAAGACTTAAAGCGGGTTTGATCCTATTTGTAACTACCTTCATAAGAATTTTGTAGACCACAGGGAGGAGAGTAATAGGTCTGAAATCTGCAAAAGAAATTGGGCTCCTCTTCTTCGGAATCAAAGTAATAACTCCCCTGCACAAATCCTCATCAATATCTTTCCCATTAAAACAATCTTGCACGAAACTGATAACTGAATTCTTCAGTCACCCAACACTTCTGAAAGAAAGCCGCAACAAGGCCATCATGCCCAGGGGCTTTGAATGGCTTCATTTCAAAAAGAGCTCTTTTGACCTCCTCCTCTTCTACCTGACATAATAAAGAATCCAAGAAGTTAGGAGAAAGAGACGGAAATTTACCCGCAATCGGATAATTAGGAGCCATGCTATTATCTTCAGAATAAAGAGTACTATAAAAACTAACCTCCTGCCGACATAATCTAGTTTGATCTAAGCACCATGAGCCATCAGTAAGTTGCAATCGATCAATTCTGGTTTTTCGCTTGTTAGTCTTATGCTTGGCATGAAAATAAGAAGTATTACGATGTCCCCCAGTGATCCAATCCGATCTTGACTTCTGTCTCCAAAATAATTCTTCCTGATTAAGAATGGTCTCGTATTCATGCCTTAAATCCCTTTCCAATTTACGAAGGAAGTTTGAAGTCCGCACACCAAGAGCTTTTTCCACTCCTTTAAGGCGAGTTATGACTTTTTTCTTTCTATAAAAAAAGGTTCCCAAAGACCTCTCTGTTCCACACCTTAACTCTATCGGTAAACAGTCTCATATCAGATAGAATATTATTCGAATTAGCCCAAGCATTATTGAAAAAATCTTTGAAATTTGAGTGCATGATCCAAGGAGCTAAGAAGCGAAAAGGAACCTGACTTGGACTACTGTTGCGTATTTTTATATCGCAAGTGTACGATATCGAACAAGTAATATAGTGGACCTAAGAGTCCGGATTATCGTTCCCACGAGGACTAAACTTTAGCACTTAAAATATTTCTCCTACTACTATTTAACGAAAATAAACGAACTCAAAATTCAGATTGTGATGAATGTGGATGTCTAGAATAACTAAATTCCTAAAATGAATGAAAATTTATGAACGAATATTGGAGATAAACAGATCGAAGATTCAAATATGTGAGAAGTATTAGGGCAAAACAATTTCACCTAATGATCACCTTAGTTACCAATTCAAGATTCTAGCCTAATGTAGTGTTCGGTCGAATTCTCCTACGGTATTCAATTTACCCCTCTCGAGTTCTCATTGAGCCTATTTAACTAAATCAATTCCATATCTCTATGCAAATTCTCCTTAGTTAAATGAGTTAAAGCACTAGGAATTCATATAACGACCGCGACACTTAGTATAGGTATCTCTACACGTTATACCTCGTTACCGGATTTTATTACACGTTCTAAGTTTCGAACTCACCTCTCGACTCGTAAGAAACTCAATAAATCATCAAATTAATGGCCAAGTAATTTGAAGCATTACACACATAATAAAATCAACACATTGAATAATGAAAAACTCAGAATTCATGAATTAAAATAACTAAGGGTTTCAAAAGATTACATTGTTCGCCCTAATAATGAATTTAGCTACTCATGCGTAAAATAATGAAATAAATAACACAATCTGAGTACATCACCGGATTTAATTGATACAAAAGATGGAAAGATTAAGCCCTTGCACCAAGATCTTCGTCCGCTTCCAATCTTCGATTTGAACCCGAATCCTTGATGTAATTCCTCTTGTGAATCTCTCTTTTATTTGGTGTTTTTCTCTCAATTATTGCAAAGTGTGGAACCCTATTTCGTGCCTCTCTTAGCCTCTTTATACTTCCTCCCCATCCTTAGCCAAGTTGGAGTCCTTTTTGTGGGCTTTTTCGTAGTCCAAAATTAACCTAATTTTTCTCGCGGCGCAGCGCTTGAGCGCCCGACTGCGGCGCTTGAGCGCCGCGTCATCTGTGAAGGTAGCGCTTGAGCGCCATGTAAGTGGCGCTTGAGCGCCCAATCTCTGCCCACTTTTTCAATTCAAGGTTTTTTTGTGGCGCTTGAGCGCCATCTTCCTGTTGAAATTTCTACTTCGTTCTCCGGCGCTTGAGCGCTATCTCCGGGAGCTTGAGCGCCATATTTCTGCTCCATTCTTCCTCTATTTTGCTCCAAAAACCATTTTTCTTCATTTTAACATTCCTTCAACCAAAACACTAGCAAACACATTAAATTCGTTCTATAATCAACATATTGAGTATACAAATGCAGCTTTATTGGTATAAAACCCGTGTGCAAAACACACTAATCAACTACCGAAAGGAGAGGCCTATGATCTGATGCAATACGAAGCAAGTGCTGCACAATCGTATTAGGAAACTGAGTACGCCAATCCATGTTACACAAACCATGATCTAATCTCTCTTTCACCAGACCCCTCTGCCAAGTTGCCATGGGGCCCTGAAAACCCAAATCAAGCAAGCAACAAGTATTAACACAATGTTGAAACAACTTACATGGATGACTACCTCTTACCGATCCTCCAACTTTTTCATATGAAAACAAAAAAGAATTAGAGTCCCTCATCAAGCACCATGGTTCAACAACTGTACTAGCAAAGGACGACACATATTGCCAAAAAAATCTTCTTAAAGAAGCAGCCGGGTCTGCATAAACGGCTGAGAAAATAAAGGGAACGCTCCCATGGATGTTAATTCTCATATTCACAATCTGGTAATTGAAAGACAGAATATCCAGCGAAACATCATTCTTCCACAAAACCCAAATACCTCCAGCAAAGCCATCCGCCTCGACTCTAAAGGAATTGCAAAAGCCAATATTTTTAATAACCCTGTCAACCGCAAGACCACTGATTCTTGTTTTAAGGAGAATGATACAGGATACATTATAACTTCTGATCAAATCTTTAATAAACCCAGACGTTGCACTTGAACCAGCGCCTTGACAATTCCACACCAATATTTTATCCATCGTAACAAAAGATCAAGAAAAAAGAAAAGGAACTAACCAAAGCCTTTAAAAGGCAAAAGTAAAGTTCTCCTTGTTCGTCGATCCTCCATGAAGAGGCCCATCAGAGGTTGAAGGAAGAGAAGCATTCCCCTCTTGGCAAAACTCTTTCTCCAAATACTTCTTAGATAACGACCGTAAGGAGACACTCGAAGTATTTTTTAATTTTTTAATTTTACTGTCAGGCGGTCGTCCTCCATTGAACCGACTTATAGTCATTTTCCCTCCTCTAATCACCATTTTGTCACGGATTGAACCTGTGTGAGATTGACCCGAACGTTGATATGGTTTGGAAGCTCGAACTACAACATGCGTTGAATTATCCAGAATATTAGACACAAGGTTGTCAGCCTTGATAGCCTCGACCAGATGCATTAGTTCCTGCTGAGAATGACCAGTCTCCTTTTTCCCCCAATTTAGACATATGTTCCCCTGCTTCCCTTCCAGTATGACGTCATTATCCATTGGAAACTAAGTGACAAAGCTTGCCAGTTGCTTATCTTTTGCAAAAAACCACGTTTATTATTGGTATCCAAACTTTCAATTTTCTCAAATCATATCCAAACTTCCAATTTGTTTTCAATGTGACCTATTTGATTTCAGTTAACAACATTAAAAGTGTGTTTGATTGAAAAAAATTCCATGAAAAATGGCCATTTTCACTCAAATTTCAACTTCTTGAGTGTTTGATTGCCATTTTTCAATGAAAAATATGCTTAATTTTTCTTATTTTTGAGGAAAACATTTTCTTTTTTAGGAATGAAAAAATGATTTTTTTTCCACCTAAATTCTAACTTTTTGAGTATTTGATTGCCCTTTTTCCATGAAAAATATTTTTCATCCTATAAAAATATGCCTAGTTTTTTAGGAAAAAAATTCTTTTTGAGTAAACATTTTTTCATGTCAATCAAACACGGTTTAAGCTTACATGGCAATTGACTATGTCAAGTCTTCATGGAATATAACGAATTGCTCTAACACCTAATTTCAAGCATAAGCCGTCTAACCCCAATCCAATTCCTATACAACCTTAACCACCGGTATGATAATAACTCACAAATCATTTTCCCCCCTACAAAATCGTGTTTCCAAATTGCTCTAAAATGTCAATTTTTCTAGGTTTCCAACTTTCGGAGCCGGACTTGAGGTGAGGCCCAACTCTTTTCAACAAGTAATAATCTATTTTCTTCGATTGCATATAGAGGAAATTACATCTAGACCTGGTTTTAGATATCCATTTTCATAAATCCTGATTTAAGTTTGATATTTCACTAATCAGGATTTAAAGGAATTAAAAAAAAAAATTTATTTTCATTTAAAAATCTATTTAAAATAAATTCATTTATTTAACCCTACCCTAACTCCCATACCCTAAATCAAATCTTCTCTCAATCTCTCCACCG